TGGCTCTGTTAGCCCCTTAATAGACTAGTTTAAAAATGTGTCTTATGACCTGCCCCACAGAGTGATGGATGAGTTAGGGGCATCCATCCTCCAGCCTGCTTGCTCGCCTGCATGAAATTCCTGATCGCCTCTGTTGTTAAATAAAAGTGTTTTAATTGTGTCTTAGGGATTCCCATCTTGTCTCAGTTTGAGTGTTGGACTAAGACTCTGGAGACCAGGGTTCGATTCACCGCTTGGCCATGAAACCCACTGGGTTACCTTGGGCAAATCACACTCTCTTAGCCTCAGGGGAAGGCAATGGCAAACCTCCTCTGACCAAATCTTGCCAAGAAAACCCCAGGATAGGTTTGGCTTAGGGTCATAATCAGAAATGACTTGAAGGCATGCAACAACAACAGCAGCTCATTTTTGGCCCATAAAGCAGTATCTTAACCAAGCATAAAGGACTGCAGTGGAAAACCACTATCTTTGTACAGAGTAAGTGAGGCTGAAAAAATGAGGTCTCAGAGCAGGCCAGAGATGGCTAAGGAAACAGACCTTACAAAGACCCAGAGGAGGCCAGTCAGGAAAGGAAAAGGTGGGATCAGAGATACACACTGCAAAAAGTGTGGGACCATAGAGATCGGCATGGAGCAAGCTATTCTGCTACCTATTCTGACTACAGCATGGGTGGAAAGTGTCGAGCCTGTGGGCTTCAACAAACTCTGGGATTGTTTTAGCTCAGGAACTCTCCCGTAAGCCTCCAAACCCATGCCAACATTGCTACCTCTACTTGTTTATCTCAAAAACACAACCACACCATCCCAAAATCCTACCCCAAATTGTGAAAGTCAAAGGGGGTAGAATACAGAGACATAGCCGTGTTGGTCTGGAATATCAGTTGTGTGTGTTGTGTGCCATCAAGTTGTTATGGTGACCCTAAGTCGAAGCTGCTCATGGGGTTTTCCTGGTAAGATTTGTTCAAATGTTTGAGGCTGAGAGAGTGTCACTTGCCCAAGGTCACCCAGTGGGTTTCATGGCCGAGCTGGGAATCAAACCCTGGTTTCCACATTTGCAGTTAAACACTCAAACCACTATACCACTCTGGCCTTCTAGGTTTGCCTTAGGGTTGCCGTAAGTCAGACATCGCTTGAAAGCACACAACAGTTGTGTTCATTTGCTGCAGAAAAGCAAAAAAGTATAATGGCACCTTATGGTGTTTCAGGTCAGCTTCTGTCCATGGAAGGGGCTAGTTGGTCCTTTGCCTCAGGTAACAAAGGATCTTGGGTCAGCTTTGCTGCCACTCATGGTGGGATCCTTGGGACTCATGCATGCCATGGGGAAAAACTACAAAGTTTAAAAAACAACACATGCACACTATGCCCCCCAGGATCTCCCTCCCCAACTTCCCCAACCTCTGTCCCACTGGGGAAAAGGAAAAGGGAATCACTTCACCAGCAGAAATGGAAAACAGCTGCACTGAGATTTAAAGGGACCACTTTGACAGTGTGGGAAATTTAAAATCACCAGAAGCCCCACGGAACTGGCATGAGCTGAGATAGGGAAAAGGGACAGTTTGCCAAAACCTTTGGGATGGGTAGGTTATAGCCCTCTGCCCATTGGCCCTCCCTCCCGGGTGCCAGCTCCCATCACCATTCAAATATGAACTTTAATGGGAACGTGGTCAGATTCAGTCGTGGCAAACATAAGTGTGAGCATTGCTTCGGTTTCAAATAATTTCATCAATTTGAAATGATCCAGTTAAGAAATCGGTTTATCCCTAAGTGTGAATGAGGCCCCCCCCCAATATCTTTTCATTTGCTTGTTAGGTTTGTTTAATAATGCAATAAGGATCTAACTGTACAAAAGAAGTTGTAGCATCAGCTTATGTAGACTTGGTCTGCATCTGAGGAAGTAGACTAAATTTACAAATGTTTATGCTACAACTTCTTTCATACAGTTAAGTCTCAAAGGTGCTACAAGGTCCCTTTGCATACTGGAAGTCAAAGAAGCTACAAGTAGACTTCTGATCTGAGGTCGTATGCTTTCATGGCCGGCATCCATGGTTTTTTGTGGGTTTTTCAGGCTGTGTGGCCATGTTCTAGAAGAGTCCTGTGAAGACACTTGCGAAGAAAATCCTGTGATAGGGTTGCCTTAAGAGTCGCCATAATTCTGAAATTATTGAAAGGCACACAACAACAAATGGTAGTAGTGAGTAGCCTCCTTCCTCCACCATCACACTTGCTTGGGCAAGATCTGTTTCCTTCTCTCTTTGCCCTCTAGACTTTTCTTTTTAAAATGGGAGTAACGTAAGCTCATGATACAGGCCAGGATTAGATGTTGTTCCCACACAAAGAAGGGGGAACTGTCTCGTGGTTCCACACCAGGGTAACTTCCATTTATGTTAGTGCAAGTACAATGGACCTTTGGCACCTGCTGAGGATTGGTATCCCCCATGGATACCAAAATCTGTAGATGCTAAAGACCCATTGAATACTACTAAAATGGTGTCTCTTATATAAAATGGCAAAATCAAGGTTTGCTTTTTGGAATTTATATATTTTTAAAATATTTTCAATCCATGGATGCTTGAATCCGTGGATAAAACTGTGGTTAGGGAGGGCTGGTTGTACTGTTTCTGAGACTGCATAAGGCAGTACCAATACCTCCTTATGCATTCCTCGCCAACCTGCAGATGGTACCCAGACACAGCTCTGCTATCTGACTTCAAACAACCCTCATGTCAACAGTTAGCTGGCCTTCCTTCGCCCTCCTAGATCTCAGCATAAGTACACTGAGAGAACTTTACGTTCTGCCAGCTTAAAATGCGATCTTGGCCATACCCTGGGGTATTAAACACCATGTTACTTGTTTGCTTTCGAGTAAGGGAGGGCTGTTTCTTATGGAACTGTTATTTCTACTCTAGTTTTTCATGCCTGCTGTCTGAACACGTATATGCAACCCTTTCTGTGCAAGTATTACTACATCTGCATGTAACTCTTGCATCTGAAAAATGTTAACATGGAGGGGGAACTTTGGCTTATCTCTAGAGAATTTGTGGACATTTTTAATTCAAGAACCTGGATGTGACTTTGTTGGACAGAAATGCCTTTGCATGGGCAGATCCTTGCTCTGTTTTCAGAGGTTGTAAAATAAATCTGAAGAAAACTGCATTAGGGTTAGTGTTATTTACCAGAAGGAGAAAGAATATGGGGTGGGAGTGGGGAGAAATGATGTGACTGATGCTGACAACAAAGCATTGATTCATGGAATTTAAAGTGGTGTCAAACTGCTTTATTTTGGCAATGTGACAGTATCCACAGTATATGATACTGAAGGCTAAGGCAGATTTTAATCAATTAATCCACTTTAAAATAACATGTCAAAATACGCCTAAGGATACTCTTAGTACCCAAACCAAGATTTAGGTGTGTAGGTTTGAGAGTGCTGCAGCTTTGTCGGAGATGCACACAAGACAGCCTTTTTTAAAACAATAGAATTATTAAAGCTATTTTTAATTACTTATTTTGCTGACCACAATCCCCAAAGTAATATTGTATTTCCAGGATATGCTTTGGCTAACTTTATATGCTTTTTATATGGCACCCTGAGATGATCCACATTGAAACACTTTCTTCTGAACCTTTGGACCAACTCTGGGAACTGTGCAACCCTCCAAGTGTTGCTGGACTGCAATTCCGAGCAGCACTAGCAAGTATTTTCAGTGGTAAGAAATGCTGGGATTTGCTGTTCAATAACATTTACAAGGTGGCATAATTCCCGTTCTATACCTCTAACTGTAACGTTTAGACAACAGCCTCTATTTTCAATGTTTTCCATTTCAATCTGAAGTGCTGCACTGGTTTTAGACACATGCTCTCACCTTCCCTTTTAATTTTAAATTAAATTCTACTGCAATATTATCTGGGTAATTTTCCTGTCATTTGTGAGAGCGTACAATCTATCAGGAATAGTGCAGCCTATAAAGATGATTTTCCTTTCTCTGAAAAGTGCCTTCTTGAATGGTTTGAATTATTTTCCACATTGCAGGACTTTTACAAGGCATGACTTGTTGCCATATTAGCATAGTCCTCACTTTGTAGTGCTCATGCATTCCTGCTGCTAGGAAACAGGACTGTAAACTCTGTTTTGGACAGGTGCATAACATTTTCTGTATATTTTCTCCTCATTATGTGATCCACATGAGTTGTTATCCATTTTCTTTGCCTATTTAGCCTTCCCACCAACTCCAGTTTGCACAGTTCTTGTGTGTGACCTGGTGAAAAACACACTAATTGGAATAAATTAACTTTAAAGTTCAATTAATGAATCACTAGACTCAGAACAGAAAACTGTGGGTTCACAGACTGGTTTTATGTCTTCAGGCTCAGACTTTAACACTGCCTTGTGCTCAGATTCTCGGCTATGCAGTTTTTTAGCATCCTCATTTTGCTGTTCTGAGAAATGAGTGCCTTGTGATTCACTATATCTGCCACTGCTATTATTTTGAGATGCCTTCCATGATACTTTCTCCACATCCCAAGCGTTCCCACCATTCCTAAAAAGTTGGGGACTCTTAGTGGATATCTTTTCATCCACTGTGTGGATTCTGATGTGGAAACCAAAGTTCTCACTAGAACGGAAGTTCTTTCCACACACTGAGCATTTAAATAGCTTTTTGCATGTGTGGGATTTCTGATGGTCAGTCAGGCTACTACTGTGAGCAAAGCTCTTTCCACACTCCAAACATTCAAATGGTTTAAATGTGTGGGTTTCTTTATGGTAGGTAAGGTTACTACTCTGAGCAAACCTCTTGCCACACTCAGAGCATTGGTAAGGTTTCTCTCCTGTGTGAGTTCTTTGATGATACATAAGGGTACTGCTCTGAGTGAAGCTTTTTCCACACTCTAAGCATTTATATGGTTTCTCCCCAGTGTGGATTCTTTGATGTTTAGTAAGGGTACAACTCCGTCTGAAGCTTTCACCACATTCTGCGCATTCAAATGGCTTTTCCTCTGTGTGGGTTTTTTGATGGGTAGTGAAATTATTGCTCCGACTAAAGCTTTTTCCACACACTGAGCATTTATATGGTTTCTCCCCAGTGTGGATCCTTTGGTGATCAATAAGGGCACGTTTCCGGCTAAAGCTCTTTCCGCATTCAGAGCACTGAAATGGTTTTTCGCCTGTATGGGTTCTTTGATGAGTAAAAAAGTTACTGCTCCGATTGAAGCTCATTCCACACTCTGAGCATGTATATGGTTTCTCTCCAGTGTGGATTTTATGATGTACATTAAGTGTACGCTTCTCACTGAAGCTCTTTCCACACTCTGAGCATTGAAATGATTTCTTTCTTTTGCAAAATCTTTGAGATGTTCTTGTTATGTCTTTCCTTCCTGCTTGACACTTTTCTAGCATGGAATTTTCATGGAACTCTGGAACTTTGCAGACAATAGTGTTTTCACTCGAGCTATATTTTGCTTCAGATTCCTGTTTGTCTTCTTTTTTCTTCTCCTTTCCATCCCCTACAGGAAAAAAGAGAAGAAAATAATGAGGTGGGGAATGGCTCCTCAAACGAAAGAACAATCATGTTTAAGAAAAAGAAGTGAAAAAGTAAAATATTCAAACAGTGGTGTGAGGTGGCATTAATCAGCACCTGACAAAGTATCATTAAAAAGTTTTAGTTGGTCAGTGTGCCAGTTCAGTCACCAGCACCTCCACTTGAAAAAGCTCAAACTGCAGGGACAAGAAGATCTCCAAGTAGGACCTTCAGGCCATGATCAATCAAGTTTTGGACAAGATGGTGTACTGCCAGATTCCTATGCTGTTGTATGTCAAGAGTCTAAATAAGACAGGAGCTGTTTTTTAAGGAGGTAAATTATATCATGTATTAAAATAATCATTGCTGGTGGACATTAAATGGCAGTCAATAAGAAATTGTTAAAGAAATTTCATTTCTTTGTCTTCATCAAGTCACAGATTTAATCCTGAGTATCTCCACTTGCAGGATCTCTAACAGCAGGGATTACAAGCCCTGGAAGTGGTACCTTCTGAGGCCAAGTCCAGTCAGAATGGATAATATGTTGGTCAAGATGAAGGAATGTCAATTCTCA